AGGCCTGATTGCACTTGGATTGATTGTATTTTCCAAAATTACTGACTGATTTTATCAAAAACATCGATCTAAGAACAATTTAGGCTCGATTCGGCCATAAGTAGGCAAAAGCCATGCAAAACCGCACCTAACCTGCAAAGTTGACACCTGGACCCCTAGCCGTATATGTGCTCGCACATCCATGGTGCGACCGTAGCTAGATTGTGCGGCCGTACTTCCTCTGTGTGGTCACACCTTCCCCCGACAGACAGAAATGTAAACTTTGCAAGGATGGCAATGCAGAATTTAAGAGAGGAGCTAGGGAGAAACCAATACTCAACCCTAGCAGCTTCCTCTAGCTTCCTCCCTAAGCTAAGAGTGCTTCTAAAAGCACCATTTTCCCTCCTTTAAAAGGTTAGCAATTCTTGAACTTTGAAGGACATTTTGAGAGCTTGTGAGGGAGAGACCCTCTCTTACACCCTTAACTCCGAAAATTCCTTCACCCTAACAGCAACCTAAAGTAATCAAAACTTTCTAAGGCTTGGAGACTTGAACAAAGCTCATAACCTAAACTTGAGGGAGGCCTACAAGCAAGGAAATCTTTATTTTCTTAATTGCTCTTCGCGTGCTCTTCAGTTCTTGAAAACAAGCAGGTAAAGCTCTCATCTCGTCCTATTTTTAGAGCCTTTTTGCCCTATTTTTCAGTAGTTAGTCATAGCTTAAGCATTCATCCATTATCTCATCACGCAGTTTGCCTATTTTTCTTTTTTTTTTTTTCACTTTATTTGGCATGTTCTCTTTCTTTTCATTAGAACAACATATTTAAGACCATGTAATCATATAGAAACCATGTTTTAGGCTCGGTTTGAATAATCATGTAGATAGCTTATATCATTATCTTTCTTTTCATTTCTTGCATAAGCATCATGCTAGTGGCCACAAAACGGGCCTAGGTTCATTATTGTATGATTAATTGTATGTTTAGGCCATATTTATTTTCTATTTTGCATGAAAGACGCCTAGGTGGGAGTCTGGGTAAGTCCATTAAATCCTCATGACATATGCATGTCCTTGTTGCATCGTCCTTTTCAATAATCCAAGTTAAATCCTCCTTATATGCAAAATTAGTTGTTTTGAATGTTTTTTGTGAATGTTGTTCATTTTGAGTTAGGTTTATGGCCATGGATTGATAAAATCCGCTTTTTCATTGAAAAACCCTTGTTTTGAAAATATGGCTTTATTCCTTAAATTTAAAATGGACGACATTCCTTTTTATTCAAATCACAAAGCTTTAGGGTTAGTAAAGGTTTTAGGCTTGAACTAGATTGTATGAAATAATTAACTACTAAAATCATAAAATAGAAGTGAGTAGAGGCCAATCTTCGAATTAGGCAAAATGGGGTGCTTTCATGTAAATGATCTTCTCCTTTTGTATCTAAGCACCCGACTCTTGAAATTTTCTGGTTATGACAGACTGGTCTTTAACTTAGTTTTTGTCATTAAATGTTTCTTAATTCCCCTTTAAAAATTAAGTGGCAACTCTTTGTTGTTAAAGCAAGTTAGTCCAATGTTTGTATGGAAAATGGGCCTTAGACTTGAAAAAGACACGATGCCCACAACTAGTATTTCACCACTTAGGATTTGAAATAATACTTCAAACCCTTTTTGTTGGTCCAACCAAGGTTATAGGAATTAGAGATGTGCATGGTGCGATTCAGTGTGGTTTGAGAATAAAATTAAAACCAAACCATTGTTAGTAGATTGGCAAACTTGCTATCTATAACCAAACTGCGGTTTGAACTGTTTCAACCTATTAGTTGATTGAAGAATAATCTTAAACAATTGTCAAGTATTTACAAAATAAATAATACTAATTTGTATAATTATATATAGATATATATAACACTAACTAATTTTGCATAATAATTTTCATATATATAACTGTAATTTGTACCAAATTTCCCATCTCAAATCTCTCTCACATTGATTTTTACTTTGATATTTTATTGGAAGTAATATATATATATATATAGGTATTAACTATAGCAGGACGTAGCAGTTTCAAAGGTGGATTATAAATTTTAAACTGTGGATCAAATTAATCCATGGTTAGCAGGTAGATTGGTGCGGATTGGGCAATTTTAGTAGATTGGGCGATATTTTGCATATCCAGAGTAGCAATAGTAGATCTTAGGAAGACCAAGATCACACCAAGAAGATTGCTTAGGGCAATACCACCCATAGCAATATGAAAAAAAATTAGAAACAAACTAGAAATTGGGAAGGCTATAGAAGGACGTGACCTCCCTCAAAAGGGGTGAAGGGGAAAATACATACTACCCTCGACAATGATGATTAAAGGCCAAGGCATCTGGTCCTTAATGCCCTTAAGGATGTTGTTATCATTCTTGAATAACGACATCGTCTAAGATATTGAACCAAGTCCTAAAATGCTCAATTTCATCACAAAAACTTAGCATGTTCATGAGATGACTCATGATTCAAAGCGAAAAATGAATAATCTCAAATGTTAAAATTAAAAGAGAGAAGTAGCAACTTACAAAAGAAAAAAGTGAAGCAACATCGATGAATGCTACTAAGTCTAAGGAATCAACAAATATGAAGGCTTGTTGAAGATGCATACAAGAGTACACCTGGAATATGATAAAACAAATTTAAAATGAGAGTAGAGAGGCACCAAACAAACATACAGTCCTGAAATGGTTCTTTAAGGAAAGTTAAAGAGGGATGAGAGATGCCATTATGACCCAAGAGTGACCTTTTGGGTTTGCTCAACACATGGCCTAAAGAGAGTAGAATAATGACCACAAAGTGATCATTAAACATCAGTCCAATATCAGGTTTATAAATACGAAATTCCATGTTGGACAACTGTTTTGACGTTAGTCCCAGACCTATCAAAAATGAGCAAGTCGTGGCTGGACGGAAATTGTAAGTGAGAGTAAGAATCCCAAGATTGGGCTAATCAAAAGAAAAAGGTCAAAAACTAGGTCCAATTCCAAAGGCTGAATCCTTTTAGGCCCAATAAGAGAAAGTTGTGCATGGGAGATATACTGGAAAATAAAGACCAATTAAGTCGACCATGTTTTGTTAGCTAAAGAGACACATCTATGCCAATCAAATTGAATGAAATGACAAGAGCCAAAGGAGCGCCATATATCTTAAGTGGAAATAGCCTTAACAGCAGTAGGGTTGTCATTTAGTTTGCACACCCCAAAGCTTGACTGTGCTGATTTGCATCCTGAATAATCTCCTTCTCTTGTTTGAAGCATACCTTGGGCCTAGCCCTTCTTTCATTTAATCTTTCACTCTCTAACACTGTATCCAAACATAGGCTATGAATCACGATATCATCTTTGTCAAAAATCACCATATTGTGGGCACTTGAAAGTGTTAAACCATTTCTCAAGTTCCTATTGGAGCCAAATAAAATTTTGATTAATAAGTTGGGTGATTCTAACGATACTTCAAATTTGAATTGAACAATGTAGGGAAGGTGGTTTGGAAATACTTTTTTGATCCAATGAGACGCTCGAGATCCTCAGCTAGTAACCTGAAAAGGAATGAACACTCCGGTTGGGGGTGCCGGAATTAGCACTCTGACAGATAAATCAGTGTATACTCTCTTGGCTACTTGTATCTTAAGTTAAGCGTATTAGTTCTCACATACCTCTTTTTGGTTGCTCTTCCTTTATTTATATATGCCTCTGGTCCTCAGGATATAGCTTGCTCTTAATCCCTCGTGTGATTGTTCATTCGGCCTTCTATTTGTTGTATTCCTACTTTTATTCGGCCCTCCGCTCAACCAGCTTTATGGCTGATTAGGATACTCGGCACCTAAAATGCAAGAGACGGGCGAATATAATATATACCTAGATTTTGTAAATCTGTACTCGGCCTATCTGAGTTCTCTATTATTCGGCTCCCACAAACAAAATAAACAATTTTAGTTAGTACGTGTGTGAAGTTGTGAAGTCTCACATCAAAAGTACAATAAAATGAATTTTTTTTAATATATATTGACTTAATTGGCGGTTCTTAGATTTCAAATTAGAGATTTGAATATGTACAATCAACCTAAAATCCAATTCAAAGCTTACATATATTTAAGTTTGGAATTTTTTTAAAGCAAAGATAAGGTTGAAATGCATTGCTAATTTTTTACAATTTTGTACATACACTCAAAGTTGAATCATATAAAACCAAGGATAGAATAGTTATAGTCAACTCCCATTCTTGGGGCCACATAGTAGTATTTTGAATGGAACTATTTTTCTGACAATGTCATACATTAAAAAAAAAAATACAATTAAATGTAACATAAATAATAGAAATTGCTCTTTAGCATTTGTTTACCTTTTTTATTTTACGATGACAAACTCCTCTGTGGCAAGTCACATTGGATTCATTCCTACAAAGTAAATTTCGAACACACAAAATCATTCACAAATCATATATACTAATGAAGTCCCTAGAAAACACAAGAGTATTCAAACTCAAAATATATCAATCTACTATTCATTTTGGGAGTGCCTGGGCATGATCTTTACAAGTTAATCAATGATGCTTGGAATATCCTGTCGCTAGGGCTAATGATCCTTTATTCCCAAATCTTTCTGTCCATCTGTCTTAAAACACTAACATCTATTAGATCATTGAAAATCTAGAAGTGTGATAATCTCAAGACATGATCCAATGAATGTAGATGTTTTGGGACAAAGAGATTTGAGGACAAAAAAATGATCCTATGACTAGTTATCATAAATTGACCCTAGCCTCCACTTGTGTCAATGGCCTTCCTTCCCTAAAGATTCTCTTTCTTTGGCTTGCCAACAAAAGAAAAAAAAAAAAAAAAACTAATGGAGAGAGAGAGAGAGAGAGAGAGAGAGAGATGCATGGCCTCATATCTCGGAGCCAAATTCAGAAAAAGGTGCAACAATAGTTCAATTGGAAGTTAGTAATAACCGAGAGAAATAGAATATGGAAACAAAACAATCACCAATTCTTCACAACAAGCTTCTTCAACTCCCTCATCCCATGTCTCTTGTTTCATCTCTTTCCTCTTGACTCTTTTTCTCTCTCTCTTTTTACATTTTTCTATATGTCACCGACGAAGGGTGGAAGCAACAAGCCTTCCACCACCGGTGGTGGCGGTAGTAGGACGAGAAGAAGAACAGTGGATTGCGTTGAATTTGTAGAAGAAGATGGTACGGGAAGTGGGTACGTTGTTGGGCAGAGCCATCCCCATCGCTCTCCAGTGGTGGTGGGCTGTTGCACCGTGTTGCGAAAGAGGGTACATTCCATGTTAAAATTTTTGAGGCCAGGACGAAACCTGAACCGGTGGGTTCTTCGAGCTCTAATGTTGTTGGTGGCATCTACCACATTTGTGAAATTTGCACTCATGAATGGCATGCATGAATTGGATGAAATGACGAGCGCGAATGATTTTCTGATACATCCAGGGACCATTGATGGTTCTGCAATGCCTCAAAATGTTGTGGTGGAGGATGGTGGCCACCCTGCCAATCTCATGAATAATCAGTCTACGGTCAAACACTCTTTTTACAATATGATTTTGAATTTTTATGTGTAGATATAGGCAAATTATTTGGTGTTAGAAGATTACCACATTCTCTCTATCGTTCTTTCTCTATAATAATGTTGCCATGGTTTTTATTATAACTTGACACACGTCAACAAAATACATAATCTAACATATCAAGTTTAACATTAAATCAAAATAATGTCAAATTACTATCCTTACATTTTAAACGACATATTCCAAAACGATGCCATTTTGTTTCAACTTTAAACATGAACTGTAAGATTATCACAATAAGATCATTGTAGAGAAAAGTAAAATAGATGATCCTAATCCACAATGATAAAAGGATGTAATTAGTTCAATTCCATCGAGGTTGAAGAAAAATTTAGCACTCAACCAATAACTTTAATTTTGTTAGTTGAAGTTTTGTTGATTTTTTGATTTATTGCAAATGAGATACTCAAAGAAGTCATTAAACATTTTTATTAAAATACGGCATATGGAATCCCACATTGAGAATAAATGAAGAGAGAGGACATGGCTACTTTATAAATGGTGCCTCATTAACCTTTATTTTGAAACATATAACATTGGTCACTTATCTTGTAATGCTCAAAGAATCAAAATATAATTTTTTTTGGATATAATATTTTGATTGGTATTATTGTAAAACTTTTTAGAACCGAAACATGCTATATCTTTTGGGCAATCAATTTGACCAAAACATGAAATTTTGATTGGTTTCTAATGGTTGATTCTATTCGATTTCATTAGTTTTTCTTATAGTTCACTATGTTACTAATGCAATGTAATACATGAGCTAATAAATTAATAATAATAAATAAGTGATTATCATAACATTAATTTTGATTAAAAAACTTAATTTTTTTTTGTTTAATTACTTGTTTGATATTCCATAATTAACATACAAGTGCACAAAAATAAATTAGTGAACCAATTATAGGCGCTCGCAAACTTATATATAAGTAAATGGAGATGCTACTATGCGCATCCGTAGAAGGGCGCATATGGTATGCACTTTATAACAGCACAACATAATGTTGTAATATAAACCATAAAATGACATAACTTTCCTTACCTAGAAAATGTACAACTTTTTACTCACCACAAAAAGTATTATTTTCACTTTAGGGTGCACAATAAATCAATCATTCGTAACCTTTATCACAAATTGACATAACATACGCCACAAGCATTTTTAACTTTCATCATAAAAAATCATAACTTTCTTACGATGTGCCCCTTTCTAGGGTACATATCATAAATTTTTCCATAAATAAAATATTTATTTGTTTTATATTCGCGTCCCTAATATTTTTGTAATGCAGCATTGTGGCTTTGGTTCGGTTTCTATATAGCCAACTATGTTTTTATTTTGATTTTGGTATGAGTTTAGATTTGTTTTTTTAGGTTTTTCAATGAATTATGAACTAAGATGTGTTTGAATATTTGATCTTCTATTTACATGATAAATTATTACTAGATCATACTAACAAAATTTAAGGTTGTCTTGTTGAGATGCTCGATGGATTGGATTGCCAAAGTGAAATTTATATTTTTACTAGTGCTCGTTTCACTATTTAAATTCTAATTGCTATGACGGTGTTGTTTTGTTGATTTATACTTTTGGAAGTTATTTAACTTTATGGTTTAGGTCCTTTTCATATGAAATCTTGTCTTTTTAATTTAATTTATTTTTATTTTTATCACAGGGGCATTCAGGACTTCGCTCGACTAGTCCCCAGGTACGTGTAGTGTAATTTCCTATCGTACACATCTCGAGCAATTATCAAAGATAAATGCAAAATTGACCTTAATGGTGAATAAAAATGACATCTAAAACCTTTTGCTTATATGACCATTGGTCTACCCCTTGGGCTAGGCTTGAAATAGTGTTAATTTGTTTCATTAGTGGTTACAATTGAGGTCAATTTTTATTTATTTATTTACTTATTAGTTCATAGTTTAGGGAGAAAGGTCTTCTATGTGACAAGAAATAAACTGTTATCTCTTAATGAAATGCATGATTCGGATTAATTGAATTAGTAACCAATTGATTAATTGGGATCTTATTTCTGATTACTTAATTATGATCCCTCTATTACTTTTGTTTCTACTTGTTAGACTCTAGAAATTTGGAGGAAGCCTATGAGTGACAACCATTTCAAATGCATAGATCGGTCACCTAAGGAAACAAGTATGTCCACACAAGTTTCAACACCACAACTTGTTACATAGATTTCAATTGTTTAATTACAATTCCACATTTTATTTACTTCCTGGCATCCTAACTTGTGAGTTGTTGTTTGTTGTAGGGAATGGAACTGCTACAGATGGATATATTCTAATTCATGCAAATGGTGGATTAAATCAAATGAGAACTGGGGTGAGTAGCTTTCTTCCATGTTATTTGCGAAGTCAACTTCCATGCTTGCAATGTTCGCATTCTTGCACAAGTTTTTACTACTTTTGAAAGATTAAATTTTTATATTAAAAGTTACATATCAAATAACTTGTTATCATTGTATGAGTGCAATGGACCTTACTTTCGACCAGAGATTCTCAGTCCCAAAATCCATCTATCCTTATCCAAATTCACTCACATTCATTTAATCATGTGAGAATCTAGAAACATAAAAATCTCAAAACATGATTAGAAGTTTGTGAGTCAGTCAATTAGGATAGAGGGACAAAAAAGGTTTATGCATTATATTGTATTGTACTAATGCATTGATGACACATGATTTTGTATTATTCTAACTTTTTGTAAGTATAAAAAATTAATCATTATAATATGTGTTGTATGACTCTTATTGAAATCTCATCATCTATTTTGCTCGAAAGTATTTTTCCTTATTATTATTTGTTATTGTGTAAAATACAGATAAGTGATATGGTTGCTGTTGCCAAAATCATGAATGCTACTCTTGTTCTTCCTACGTTGGATCATGAGTCATTTTGGACAGACCCTAGGTGATTTCACAATCACATATTCTAATAATACTAGCATTCTGGTGGACATTATATAGGCAACTAGCTATCTAGTGACAATAAAAGGAAGAAAGGAAATTAGTTAATTATATCATTGTTTCTATCTACAATATTAAAACATGTTTGCAGTGAGTTTAAAGATATCTTTGATTGGAAGCACTTCATAAGGGCACTAAAAGATGATATTGAAGTGGTAGACTCTCTTCCCCCACAACTTGCCAATGTGAAGCCCCTTCTCAAAGCCCCTGTTTCTTGGTCAAAGGCACGCATTATACATTTTAAAAACTTCATTTATCCTCCTGATTTGTTTAGATTCATATTCGAATTCAGATTCTAATTAAAAAAATGAAAATGTGTTTTTACATTTCTATTTTCATAGTGCAGGCAGGTTACTATAGAGGACAGTTACTCACATTGCTAAAACGGAACAAGGTGATGAAATTTACTCATACTGACTCACGCTTAGCTAACAATGGCCTCTCTAGTCCAATCCAAAGGCTCAGGTGTCGTGCAATGTATGAGGCCCTTCGATACACAGAAGAAATTGAGCACCTTGGAAAGGTGTTGGTTAATAGACTTAAAACAAACAATGAACCATACATTGCTCTCCATTTAAGGTAGGCACCATATATCTAACTAGTACTTCTACAAAACTAACCTAGCTTAGCTTTTCAAATTATATATAGGCATCTCTATCTCTTAGTTTCTTATGTTGTTCAATTATCATCAACCATGCCATGCCATGCCATGACAAATTGCCAATGCAATTGTAGATATGAAAAGGACATGCTTGCTTTTACCGGTTGCAGTCATAGCCTCAACTCATCGGAGTCTGAGGAGCTCCGCAAACTAAGGTACGAGGTAAGGCACTGGAAGCAGAAACGGATTAAAGGGGAAGAACGACGAGTCCAAGGAAAATGCCCAATGACCCCAAGAGAGGCAGCGGTGTTTCTTAAGGCTATTGGGTACCCTTCTGCCACCAAAATATACATAGTTGCAGGGGAGATTTACGGACAAGAAGGGCTTGCAGCGCTCCATGCCAAGTACCCAAACATATACTCTCACTCAAATCTGGCAACAGAGGAAGAGTTGAAACCTTTCAAGGATTTTCATAATCAGCTTGCTGCCTTAGACTATATTGTAGCACTTGAAAGTGATGTGTTTATCTATACCTATGACGGAAACATGGCCAAGGCCGTTCGTGGGCATAGGATATTCGAAGGGTTCAGAAAAACCATCAATCCTGACAAGTATGTATGGTTGATAATTCGCTAATACTTAGGCTTCATCTAGTAGTTGGGTTGTTTGGTTTTTGTGCTTTTTTGTCTTTAGTGAAACTTTTTCAATTTAGATTTTTTTTTTTAAATTTATTTTTATTGTAGATTCATCTAGACTAAATGACCATAACTTAGAAAGTTGTTAAATTGGGTTCATCTTGTTGTTGCAGGCAAAAATTTGTGAAGCTGATTGATGAAATGGACAAGGGTAAGTTGACTTGGGAAGAGTTTTCATCTGAGGTTAGGAGGCTACATGAAAATAGGATTGGAGCACCACAATATAGAGCGGTCAGACATTTGCCAAGGCATGAGGAATACTTCTATGCAAATCCTTTCCCTGGTTGTGTTTGTGACTAAGTCCTGAGAGTGTTCAAAGAACAATAAGAGTATAGCGGCCTAGCATGAAGCTAAAACACCAATTTGGGAATCATAGAGCTGAGTTGTAGTTGATATGAGTGTGTAGATAATTTTTGCTTTTCTTGAATGGCAAATTGAAGCAAGAAAAGAGTCGCCCAGAGGTAACACTACAACGTTCATGCCATCATATGCATGTGCATGTACGCACATGTACAAACATTTTTCTTTTTCTTTTTTAATGTATTTGCATAGCTAAAGAAGCTCTATGAGGAGGGAGCATAGATAGTGACATACAATTTTATAGACAAAAATTAGTTAATCCTATGGGAAATACTCTATTCTTACGAATTGTTTGACCTATAATAGCTTAATCTCTTATATTTTTATGAAATTAAACCTTAAATCTCTTCATTTGAAATCCATCTATCGAAATAGAATCTAATATCATGTTTCTATCTCTGTTTCCCAATTTAGATATAGTGACAGTTGATCCTTTTGACAGCGCTAACTAGTTTAATAATTAATCAGGTGACAGATGATCTCCCAAAATCTTAGAACACAAGTTTTCTAAATATTTGTTGTTTTACTCGGTTTTCTAAAACTAGTTTTTGAAAACAATAAACCAAACAAAATTACCCAGTTATATTTTGTTTTCTGTTGGCTCTAAAACAAATAAATTGTTTCTAAAAAAACTCTACAAACATAAGTTTAAATTTTTTGAGCTTGTTCCCATGCGGACATAGAAGAGGGGAGGAAAAGCCATTAAAATTTGTAGTAGTAAGGCTAAATTAAACAAAATAGAATTTAATAGGACCTTACAATTTTAGGAAAGTAGAATAATCATATATTCCACTCAAGTAATAAAAACTTATCTTTCCTGCATTTAGTTATAACAATTGAGAGAGAGGATTGAGAAAATAAGAACAAATAGAAAAAGTAAAAGGAAAGTTCTTTTACTGCTATTTTGTTGGATGGCTTGGAACAACTCTTTGTTTTCGAGTTCCGTATTCTTTGTAGCTTCGACCCCTGGTAAATTTAAAAAATAAGAAAATTGTACGAACCAAAGCATGAAGAATAACTTAAAAATATAGTTCCACTGCATTCAGTTGTTATCAAGAAGTGAAACGAAAAGAAAGAGAAAGAAAAGGGTCAATCTTTTCATCTATTTATTAGCAATTCTTTAGGTCAATGTACGAATCTAAACATGGTGCATTTGTTTAGATTCAAGTGCAAAACATTGTTGCTTGTGTAAATTTATAAACTTAGAAAAGATTTATCCTTAATGAAATGCTTTGTGTATGTGTGTGTGTGTGTAGATTGGGACCTTAATGAAATGCTTGGTGCTTATTAAAAAGACCTTGAAGATAATAAGCATAAATATCGAACTTGTAATAAAAGGGAAGAACGAAAGGGTCTATTATTTACTTTTTGTAATAATCCAAAAGCATTTGGTCAACACATTTTTTTAGCCCACGTACTTTTTTTTTTGATCAGCAAAGAAAAATTTCATTTAATAGCATGAAATTAAAGGTACAGGAAGATGACATGCATCGAGAGAGATTCGGAAGTATAAAAATACCCCTACTGCTACTTGATAATGGAGTGTAGAAGAGTAAACTTCTTGATTTCTCGAAAACAATTTGTTTATGATCACCAACATCTTAGCAAATATATTTTGCTAGATAGGATGTACATTGCAATCGTCAAGAGCTTTTGTGTGTGTGTGTGTGTGTTCTAATTTTGAACAATCGCTTCTTTGTGTTGTTATGTGGAATACAGGATTGTGAGTATCCAAATTTTGCTAGAAAAGGCAATTACGGAAAAACAACATCTAGATTGGCATCTTTTCCTTGACTTCAGTTTTTCGGTGATTTGACCAATGATCCATTGTTTGGTGTGGGTATTAAATTTCTAGTTGAATTTTCTTATATTTATTAAAAAACATAAATCAGTAAGCATGATTTTATAATTTTTGAGATAAACTACAGTGGTCTTGCAGAAACAAATTGCATTGCCTTTTTTTTTTTTTTCCTTTTTTTGTTCAAGAAGATGGAGGCGTTAATGAAGTTTGTCTAGAAGCTAATTAAATAAACCAAAATAGTTGTTGAGCTTATTATAGAACATGTACTGACATGAGGTGATTCAAACTAGACATTTCCACCATCTTTGTTTTTGTGTCTTGGACAACATCTAGAAGACTAGTCAACTCCACCTACATGAAGATAGTAAAGAGAAGCTTTAGTTTAAATGCTGTTGGGATTTTATGCCATTAAAGCCACTTATTTAGGGCGTGTTTGGTAACGTTTACGTATTCAGTTTATATTTATAAAAAATTTATAAATTGGTTTTTGTTTATTTTTAAAAAAACATAAATTACAAACACGTTTGGTAATTGACAAAATATTTAAAAAAATTTAAAAATATAAAAAAGAGTGAGAAATGGCAAGTGGCGACGGAAGACGGTGGTGGAAATTGATGACGGTGGGTGGTGGGTAGGTGGGTAACGGTGGCGGTGGTGGGGGGTAGTGAGTGGGTGGTGGTGGTGGTGGCATACAGGATTGTGAGTATCCAAATTTTGCTAGAAAAGGCAATTACGGAAAAACAACATCTAGATTGGCATCTTTTTCTTGACTTCAGTTTTTCGGTGATTTGACCAATGATCCATTGTTTGGTGTTGGTATTAAATTTCTAGTTGAATTTTCTTATATTTATTAAAAAACATAAATCAGTAAGCATGATTTTATAATTTTTTTTTTTTTTTTTAGTGGTCTTGCAGAAACAAATTGCATTGCCTTTTTTTTTTTTTGCCTTTTTTTGTTCAAGAAGATGGAGGCGTTAATGAAGTTTGCCTAGAAGCTAATTAAATAAACCAAAATAGTTGTTGAGCTTATTATAGAACATGTACTGACATGAGGTGATTCAAACTAGACATTTCCACCATCTTTGTTTTTGTGTCTTGGACAACATCTAGAAGACTAGTCAACTCCACCTACATGAAGATAGTAAAGAGAAGCTTTAGTTTAAATGCTGTTGGGATTTTATGCCATTAAAGCCACTTATTTAGACATTTTATTATTAATAAAATGAATTTTAGTACTGAATATCATTACATATTGTGGGTATAATTGTATCGTTTCAATGCATGAGTAGTGTGTTGATGAGTCATCAAGATGAATTGTCTATGATCTTGGTGTATGGTAGAGGACATATATAATGCCCAAAATATGGATACTGAACTACTCATTATATTTCTCAATTGACATTCATTTATTGTTAAATATGTGGAAGCTTAATTAGTCCCAATCATTCGATATTAAAAACATTTCTAAAACTGTATTTCATTCGTAGGAGTCCTTTAAGTTTTTATAAAATCATATCACATTCATTAATACATTCAATAATTCTAGAACATGAATCTATAGCATGTGATTGATGAGAAGCAACGTTCAAACTATTACAAGTTCATGTCTTAAAGACCACAAGTTCTCAAGACTTTGCCTAGTTACAACAAAAGTGGGTTATACGCCCAATACATCAAAGCTCTAGGCTATTCAAAACAAAACAACAAAACGAGCCTTAAGCTCCAAGATCCTCCCAAGCTCTCACATTGGCGAAGGCACGCCGCGAACACCTGAAAATGGTTTTCCACAAAGGGTGAGCTAAAAGCCCAGTAAAGATAATTGTAATGACGTACATGATGTTTAAGGATGTCATACGGTGAATGCATATGAAATGCCATGACAAAACATGAGTTCTTCTCTTTGAAACAATGCCATGCAAGAGTTCCAAAAAAACCACACTCCAAACACTTCCTTTTAAACATAAAGAAGGGTAGTAAATACAACATTGGTAATCTCTAGGCTGGCGTTTACAAGTAGGCTCTCAAAGCACTACTCAAAACCGCTTTATCGACTCCTAACCAGAAGGAATTTGGTACCTACACGGCGCATATTTTCAGACTTTCACCATGGATCGAAAGCCAAATTAGTTATCCACAACTACACTCCCTAACCGGATTCACCATGATATTCACTCATTTTTCTCAAACAATTCTTTTCAAGAATTTCTCAAAATGTGAAACTATGAAATCAATTATTTAATGGTATGTTCAATGGAATGCATGAGTTACAAATATTTCAATTTGTTTAATTCTCATACAATTTCTATAACACGATAATTCTATCATCCACTGATAGCCAAATCAATTATTTATAATATGATAAGAATAATAACAATAATATATAATCCAAAGCTTTCTCCAACTTTACAAAATCAACATGATTTTCCAACAACTTCAACATTTCAAAAAGTATTCGATACTCATCATTTCAAATTTCTAAATTCTAGGGTTTGGAGAAAAATTTGGGGATTTCTAGTTTTAAATGGAGTTCTCTCAAATTAACAAACCAAGAATTGTTTTGAGTGAACCAATTCGAAGAGTTTAAAGACAAATTAGAAATTCCCTAATCTTTATGCATTCACAATAATATAATAAAGCCCTAGTTCCTCCAAATACACCAAACTACCAAAATACACATAACAATGCTAAATAACATGGATATTGTTAAGAATATCCCTTTCTCAAGCAAAGAGGGAGAATAGAACAACACCCAAAATCCCATGACGACGGAATGCAAACTCTTCAGATTAAAGTGATGCTCTAGACGTGCTCAAGCTTTAAACCTCAAGAACTAGGGGTGAGAAATGAGTGAAAATAGATGAAATCAAGGGTTTTGTAGCTTAGATCTTTGAAAATGGTAGAAAAGGAGTGAGAGAAAAGATAGAGATGAAAATGTAGCTTTTTGACGCGCAAAGGTTCTATTTATAGTTTGGACCATTGTTGGCACGGACAAATACATTGATGGGTGCGAATGACACAATTGCAGTCGCGGCCATGCTCATTGTGGGCACGACCAAAAGGGTTGCAAGCCACCCTCGTAGGTGCGATCATTTTCTGCAAAAAGTACTAGAAGGTGATTTTGATCACGGGCGCGAACCCTTTTCGTGAAAACTACTGGATGAGGTAATTGGTCGTAGCTTGGTCACGGCCCATCGCGGGCGCAACCTTATAGTTCACAAGTGCGATTAAATCATCCCGGCTACAATTAATCCAACATAGCACACAGTTGCCTGGTTACTAGGTTCAAAACTAAGGTTCCCTGTGACAAAAGAAGCTCAATACAATGTAACACAACCCGAATCAGGATATAAGCTCAACAAATAAAAGAAAAAAGGTTCAGGTCTTGACCCAGGCTACTATAACATACATCAAAGTTCTTGATCATTATGTTCCTTATGACTTGAAATCTAGTTCACAATTAAAAATGGATTTGGGTTATCCATATAGATGACCGTAACGTATAACTACTACTTAGCAAGATG